CTGCGTCGCTCCCAGCATACTTGATCACTTTCGGTTTCATATCAGATGTCGGAGTATGTAAGACAACTTAGACGACCATTTCTACACCACATAAATTATCTAGGACCAGAGGAACCTTCAGGAAAAGAATTCCTTTGTTTCGAGAATTGTTCTCCGTGTCTTCTATCTGATCTGTCAGAGTTGATCGATGCATGACATATCGTCTTCTTTCTGGACCGCTCCACTAATTCCTCTGTGCAGAACAGACAGACTCGATTTCCTCCAACAAGAAGTTGATACATCGCATCTTGGGATCGGCAAGTCACCAATTCCACTCCACGCTAGACGAGTAGACGAACTGGTGGCTGTTGATGCCAGATCTCTTTCCATCTACTATTGTCACCATCGCCGTCTCTCCAACATTGGATTCATATCGGGATACGATCATCTCCCTTGAAACTTGCAGAGAATAAAACGACCTGATTTTGTCTTCGCTCCCTCTTGATCTTGTATTTTCTTTCTTTCATTGGCAAAAAAGCCAGGGGTTCGCGTCATATCCTGTCACAACCCCATTTGTCCTTTTCAGCCATCAGGTACCCATCAGGTTCAACTTTGCCACCAGTATCCCTGACGTGAAGGAACACTCAGGCCTTTAGGTAGGAATTACCAATCTTGGTTATCTAGCTATCCTTGATTAGTTTGTTGACTGAGTATCGACCGTCAGACACGCATGCTGACTCTCACCAAGTCTCCAGACTGTTGCTTTTTCGGGCAGTGACCCAGCCTGACTTATCCGTGTTTCGCTGCATATAGAGTGGCAGGTTGCCTGAATTCAAGAATTCTTCTTGACTTTTCAACCTGGAGAAAGAGGCAACCGGGACGTTGAATTACTACAGATCCGTGAGCTGGCCCAACTCAACTATTCATCATGCCTTCGCGCGACAGAGGACGAGCTCGAGCTCGAGCATCGGATGAAGAGTTCGTTCTATTTCTCCAGGGTGTAAGCACCGATCAAATTCCCCAGCTGAGCCAGATGGCATGTCTTACTGAGAGAACAGATCCCAGCCCACTGCCGCTGGCAAGAGCTCAAGGACATGGTACGCCAGACGGCCTTGCATATCCGACAGGCAGTCGTATACGATGACCAGCACGGGTTTCCCACTGGTTTGGGGCAAATTATCGTGAAGAACGAAGATGAAGCATGGCGCACATACCGTACGTGAGGCGTCGCATGGTCGCATGGCCATGAATTGAGGGCTAACCGAATGTTCAGATAGACTCTCCACCAACGGATGGGATGGACAGAGTCTCGTCGTCACTCTGGCTCGAACGAGCTCACCTACACGGCCTGTTGCCGGTCCCACGAAGAGCCCAAGCTGTGTAATTCCCCCGGCATACGCGGCGGGCTATTCGACTCCTCCTCGAGTCGCGCAGAACTTGGCCATCCCTCCTTCACCAATCTCCCCAGAGTGCGCCCCCCCTTCCCTTGTGGTCAGTGTAACGCAGCTAACGAGAACAGCACACCCCTCGTCTCAATGGCTCCAGCTCCAGCCCCAGCTTACCAGGGCCAGGGCCCAGAGTATGCACAGGTCATCAATCCCATGGTCATGCCCCCTCCTCCACCTCCCCCGTATCTCCAGCCCTTCGTCCCCATTTTCACCGACCAACTACCGAGCATCCCACACTCGCCATCCCTAAGCCACTCCTTCTGCGACACTCTCGCCTTCGCCATGCTCCCCACATACCCCATCCCCCCGCTACACCCTCCTCACCCCGACCACTCCTTCACCAACACCAACGGCAACAACAGCAACAACACCCCCCGACCAAGAACCACCTTCCACCCGCGCAAACCCTCAAGCAGCGACCAACCCCAAACCCAACCGCGCTTCACCCCCCGCCGCACAATCTTCATCCAAAACCTCAGCCCAACAACCACCCCCCACGACCTGGCCCTCTTCCTGCAGGACGCAGGGACTATCGAGCAGTGCGAGATGCCCCTGAACCCAGATACAGGCCGGTGCAAGGGCTTCGCGCGCGTCACCTTCCAATCTGCCGACGAGGCCAAGCGCGCCATCGCCCTGTATAACACGGCGTTTTTTCTTGGCGCGAAGATCCGGGTTAAGATTGATCGGAGTGGGTATTTTTCTACGGGTCAGGGCCATGCGCAGGGCCAGGGGTATGCTGCGAGGGAGGGGTACTATCTGCCGAATAGAGTCAATCAGCCTGAGAGGACAACGGGTGAGGGCGATATAACCCTTGCGCCGGGGACGGGTCCGGGTCCGAGGACGGTGGACAGGAACAGTGGGCCGCAGAGGGAGACGGAAAGGGATAGATGCCAGCCACTTGTGGTGAATGGGTCCGGACTGGGGAGCAAGACGGCGGTGGCGATTTGATCTAATGCATAGCATTTGGGTGTTGAGCGTATGTATACTTGCTTCTTTTTCTTTGGCTTTGTCTGCTTCCTGCATCGTTGCTTTCCATTTGAAGTATTTCATCATGCAATTGCTGCTGGCGTCAGGGAGGGCATTTAGAGGTGGATGTCGCATCTGCGAATGTCAAAAGTTCATTGCCTAGACTAATTAACAGTAAAGTCATCATTCATCAATCGTTCTGATCTAACAATACATGCAAATGCATTTCATCCCGTTCCATTCAATGCATCTTTGCGTCTCTTTTCCTTGCCTCATTATTCGTTCAGTATAACAGTAACAGTCCAGTGTGGTATGGCAAGCGCAAGCAGAAGGCAGAAAGCCCTCAGGTAGCCACAACACAACAAAGCAACAGGGAAAACATCATAACCCAATCGGGTGACAAACAAAAAAGGCAATATGCAAGCTGTAGATAATACATGTTACCTGGTATGTTACATGGGCGATACGACCAACAGGCCTATTTGGCATGATCGATCAGCTCCGCATAGAGAGCATCAGGAATCTTCCGGACAATGAGGACGGTCAGGGCAATGATCTCCTTTGCGTCGAGCGGCGGGAAGGACCGAAGGATCTTGTTGGGGCTGTGTGATTGGTCAGAATGGATTCGTCCATGCATAACAATGTGATATGTGACTTGTTGATATTGGAAAAGAAGAAAACATACCTTGGATTATCGAGAATGGTATCCCTCATCCGGATCAGCTGCGCAACGATGCATAGAATATTCAGATGTGGGCCATATGCGAACAAGAAATCCCACAGGTGGAGCACCTCGGGCAGTGGCGGCGTGCAGGCGCACAGTGTCAGCACAGATGGGAAGGCGTAGAGCTCCGCTTGCATCCCCTTGGAGAAGAGATAGGCAGCGAGCTTGGGCTCGACGATCTCGAGGCATCGATCGACCAGCCGCAGACCCCGGTGGACGCCGTCCATGGCGCCCCGGATATAGCCTGGGCATTCCCTGGTAATGAAATAGTGAAACAGCGCAAAGGCCTCGACTTCGCTGCGCGCCACGTAGAGAAAGGGCGCGCAGAGTACGTTCATTCCCTGCACGTACATCGCCGACTCGCTGGTGATGGCTTCGCTGCTGGGTGTTGCCATCAGGAGGTTGTCTGTAGGCTCTTCTTCTGCGATGCTCGGTGGTGTGTTGATCAAAAGTTCCATTTCCCGCCTGCGGGAGGTCGATAGGCGCGATTTCGGTCGCTTTTTGGCCTTCGCATCGTGAATCTTCCATGCTGTGGCGTTGAGTAGTCGGATCAGGCTGGCTTCGGTGACCCGTCGCTTGAACAAGGGGTCGGTGGCTAGGGTGCGGAATGTGTCGTTGCGGATCTTGGTATAGGCCGGCGAACGGCCGCGATGAATGAGTGAGAGGTATTCGTCGGTTGGCAGGGGAGGGATATCGAGTAGTGTGAGCCATAGGTAAACGCGATATGTCGACTAGAACAGACATGTTAGCATGGTAGGCTCATTCTCCGCCTCGAGATCACGGCGCTGTTGTAAATATCCACATACCATGCCATCACCATCTGCTTCCACCCTTGTTGACAGGACAAGGTATCTCAGCTCCTTCAGTGCATCCTCGACGTCCCCATTCTGCGGCCCATCCCGTAACAGCGTCTCCAAGACTGATCTCTTGATCCCAAACCCTGAGCCTGTCTTCCTCCCCGATCGTTTCTGAGTCTGTAAGATCGGTCGCTCGCCAGAGCCAGCGTCACTATTTGACCTAGCCCGACGGTGTCGCAGCCGAACAGGGGAATCCAAATGTGCCTGTTGCGCCAACTCCTCAGCGTTGACGGACGAGCGCGCAGTGGAAAGATGTGATGGCGGACCGCTAAACCCAGAAGCATTAGACGAAAGAATCTGATGCGACTGTATCTTTCGTAAAGTTCGCATCGTCCGGGGTGAAGAGGAGCCCGCAAGAGCGGCTAGATTCAGCTGGGCTTGTGTTGGCTGGGACATGGCTGGTCCTGTACGACTATGGAACAGGGGTTTGTTTTTTAGCGCAAACGATCTCTGCTGAAACGGTCGCAGGAAGTGACCATCTTCCTGGCGATGAGGACAGCGGCCAAGAAAGGATGAGAAGAAAGAAATAAGCAGCTGTTAGTGCCGAGAGTCCAGTAGTGTATCCGGGGATAAGAAACGTAGTTAGATGCAGGTTCGGACGATCCGCACCCAATATGCACCTCTGGGCATGGCGGGCTTTTTCCCGATCGAGGAATGCGGGGACACGCGACGCGCCACCAAATAGATTATTGATGTTTCAACCTGGAGGTTACTTCTTTATTAATTTTCCAATGGCTGTCTTAGAAAAGAAAAAAGAGATAAAAAACGGTGGTTGTGATGGATCATGTTGGGTCCTCGTGAATAAGCCGTCGGCCCGCCAACAGAAACGTCACGTATAGGACCAACCCATGGATATCTCGAATACTAGGTACTTGCGTTTGGATGCGATCAGCGAGAATATACGTCGTTGCATGGCTTCCAGAGCCAGAATTAAGTATACGGGTATAAGAGCTGCATCTCATATGTCAAACACAAGCTCGCCGCCCAAAACGCCATATCAAAACCACAGCGACTAATGAATAAGTTCTATCTCGCGACAGTATCAGGATCGCGGCGCCCACTTGCTGATCCTCCTATGGCACTGTCAACAAACTCCTGATACCGAAAGACCTCCCCTCTTTTCCCTCCTCCAGACAGTTTCCCGGCTTTCCCACCAAACACTCTGCGTCCGGTGAATCCACTCAATACCTCGTTGATATCCTTCTCCGTCAGCGGTGACTGCCCATCCTCCGAGGCTGTGTGTAAGAGGGTATCGCGTAGCTCCGCAACATCAATCTGTCCGCTATCATCGTCGTCAAAAGCAGCCAAAGCATTCATCAGTTCCTGGCGAGAAGAAAGAGGCGCAAGCAGACTGGACAGCATATTCAGAAATGTAGGGAAATTCATCGTCTGATCGCTTCCTGGAGGGAAGAATTGCGAAATCATCGAGGCATCCTGGCCTGAATCATGACTGGGTTTAGTCCAACATCTTTGAACTACAGAGAAGGCATTGCTTACCGATATTCACAAGTACATCAGCTACATCGTCCTTGTTGACCGACCCATCGTTATCTCTGTCAAGGACTTGGAATGCCTCGCGAATCTCCCTCAACTGTGCAGGCGCCAGTCTGGCAGCTGCATCGCTCGAAGCAGCCAGCATGCTGGCAGTCTTTGCTTCCATGATGGAGGAGGAATCATCGGGGGCATCTGCCCCCTTGGTTGGCGAGGACGGCACCTGCCTGGTAAACCTGGGTTGTGGGATTCGGTCATTGCTCTTCGGAGAGGACCCATCGTCATCTGCGACTGTATATGTCTGGTTTAACTTGCTTGGTGACTGTACTGGAGTATATCCTCGCCCCGGAGAGCTTCCTGCCGTTCCTGGTGTGCTGGGACGGATCTGTGTCGGCGGCGAGTTAGGTGTAGATGGTCGACGAAAGGGGGAAGGTCGAGGAGACCCAAAGGATAAGGGCGATGGCCGGAAGGGAGTATTTGAGACCTGCAATACTCTTGGTCAGCCTGATATGATCTGGCTATCGGCTGTCTCGGTGAGGGGAAGCAGCACACCATGATATGATATCTTTGTGGATTCCGATCTAGACGAGTTTCAGTAATCCTATGTATCCTTTGTAGATTCTACTTCAGGCATTTCAATCAGTAGCAAAAGCAAGTAATACGGATTCAGATTGCATTGGATGCTGAGGTTATTTGCGCCTACAAGGTGATTCCGTAACCCTGCATCCGACCAGACAAACAAACAAAACAGCGCATGGATGACGGCATAAAGTCGGCCCGCTTCTTGGCACGTGCGGGTCTGCGGGGATCGTGATTCTCCAGTTGATGCTGAAGCCTGAAGCAGAACAGACAACAAGAGTTTACACAAGTTGCGTTTCCTGGGGGATTTCGTCCATCCTTACAGTGATCCCTTCTCTGCTTCCTCCATGAACGAAATGAAACTATGAGATGCTCAAGATGCGCTGTACCAAAACAGTGCTCGGAGCGGAACAAATTCGCATGCGGATGGTTTCATAGCCAAAGGGGTCAAAGGGCCACACTCAGGTCGGCGACGACTCAATGCCTCAGGCCATGGATCAGATGATGCCAGCATGATGAGTGACGGAGAATTATGCTCCAACATAGCGCTCGTCCTGAGACTCTGAACCGGTCTGCCTGGAGTAATCGACAGCCATCTGGTCGAGTTACTTCGCTTCCTCAGCTATTCTGCATATTGCTATGTATTTCTTTCGCAATCTGCCGAAGCCAAACAGATCGTATGCTCGAGTGGACGAGTGGACTTCACAAGTCCACCTGAGAACCCACGCAATGTGTTTGCGAACTTGGCAGCTGGTACGAAGGCGTTTGTTCTCCGAAAATTAGGGGAAATACATACCTGATAGAACGAGTCCGAGACGTCTGTCGCCTCCGACAGGACCTTCTGACTGTGACAACAGACGCGCGGAGTTTCCAGCGTTTCGATTGCCGGTACGCTGGTAGGCTATTCTGAGTGTGAAGGACTGGATTTTTCTCCTTTTGAGATTGCCACGAGGGAAGAAGGGATTGAATATTCATTGAACTACGTAGTTCTCAAGTCATAGCGCAGATAGACAGCTACTATCATCGTTTTCGCGGTTTTCTGTAGAAATGACTGTGTTTCAGTCCCAGTTCACGATCACATTCGCGATTGTACCATCTTCCAAGACTCGGTAAGACTATCCTAACAAACGGTTTCCCAGTCTTTATAGTTCTGCCGAAAGATAGGAATCATGGCTTGCGAACATAGCGCGTGCTGAGTTGGAAAGGGTCCTTCTGTGGGACTAGACAGTGGGAGATTGCAGTCTAAAACACACGTCGGATCAGTGTACCTGCATGGTCTATTCGCGAATCACACCGGGTGTGGTTGAAGTAGTCTTAGAATAATTTCCTGTCATGCAAGGGTCCAACGGAATATTATTGCGACCTCACGATGGGATTGATCTGGTCCTGGCACTGCTTCCCGTCGACTTTCCCCGCTGTGGAGATGGTTGGTACGTGGTGGTTTGGTTCGATGGGTTGAGGCGTCCCCTTTTTCCCTTCAGATCAACTGCGCAAGTGAAACCCCTGAAAATGAACGGACGAACGACGATCGACTAAGCTTCCGATCGGTCACAAATTGACTAACTAGCAGATGGCCATGGCATTCTACTTACTCAGGACTCTTTAATGTCCATTGATGCGAGATATGCGGTGATTATACCCATTTCTCTGCTAGGAGCAGTCCTACCCCGTATCTCTTATCCTCTCATTGCTTTTCTCCCTCACTACTGAAAATGGCCACCACTCTTCCGTTCCGACCGTCCGACGATGCTGCGCATCCATTTCCTTCCGTATCGAACCCTTCGAAGCCCAATGGCCTGCCCCGGTTGTCTCCATCTCCCTCGGTCGTCAAGAACAGATCTCCCAGCAGCTCAAGATCTTTGCGTCGGCCCTCCGGAGATCATCTCGCTGCCCCTCGTTCCTCCAGACCCCGACGATGCAAGTCACAATACCCTTTAGACTCGTCGGAGCGCCATGTCGAGTACATCCTCGTCGCGTCCTTCCACATTGACCGGGGCCCGATCATGGAACATCAGTATCCGGCGCCCATTAGCGGAGATGAGAGCATGCTCGCGGAATTGATGTTGCCGGACCAGACGCATGTACGCAGCCAAGACTGGACCATATTTTTCTTGCACAAGGACACCAGTGCGGAGGGAGAGGACGGGGATTCAACAACAGCGAAGAAAAAACGTCGGAAAGGGCGAAGGGCGGAGCAGAACCCAGACAACGAAGCGGACGACAATAGCCAGGACGAAGATACCGATGCTCTCACGGAAGAGAGCAGCGACGAGGAAGACGATGGTGACGAGGGGCCACCGTTGATGTACGTGCTTAATCTTGTGAATACAAAGCAAGATAACACAGTCAGACGGTTTGTTCTCCTGCTCCACAGCCTCGTGAATCACTCAGCTAATGAATCTGTAGAGGTGCGGTGGTCAAGGCTATGGCAATCTGTACACGCCATTCATTCCTTCATATCTATAAGGTGATTTCACCCGTCTTTAATTGAGATGAACATGTGCTCATACCATTGGCATCATAGCCCTTGCTATTACTCGCGCTGGAGGACTATTTCAAGTCGCCGTACCCCGAGACTCTGGCGACGCTGTACAACGCCGTCAACGAGATGGATCTGTCATTGATGCCCAAGCTTTCGCTCCTGGAACGACAGATTTTGCAGGCTAGTAATGCGAAGGACATGTTTATCGAAAAATTCGAGCAGATGATCCAGCAGCGACTGATCGAGGAGGGAGAGCCCGTGGAAGACACCCCGCCATCGCCCAAAAAACCCGCCCCTCGGTATGCGCTTCCCCGCGACACCCACGAGTTCGAATCGCGAGTCATTTACAATGACATTCCCATTCCTGTCAAAGTGCCAACTGTTATATGGCCCGAGATTGTGGGAGACTTCTCTCTCATCAAGCTCATCCAGACGTTCTCTACTGTTCATGCCACAGCACCTCAGCCCTTTCCGCTTCACCCGCACTTGACCACCAATGGTTCCTATACGCACCCGATCATTGTCCTTGTCAACGCCATGCTCACCCAGAAACGGGTGATCTTTTTGGGCCACAATCGACCCTCGGGCGAAGTAGCAGAGGCAGTTCTGGCCGCCTGCGCTCTTGCGTCCGGTGGGATCTTACGTGGCTTCACAAGGCATGCCTTTCCCTATACCGACTTGACGAAGATCGATGATCTTCTGAAAGTTCCTGGCTTTATCGCTGGAGTCACGAATCCCACGTTCGCAAATCATCCCGAATGGTGGGACCTTCTGTGCGACCTTCCCACCGGCAGAATGAAGATCAGCACGCACATCGAGCCCGCCCCGGTTACGGAGGGTCTACTGTATTTTCAACAGAGCTCTTTCCTGCAAAACTACACGCCGAGCGCCCATCCGGATCCCACCGGTGACAACGCCTTCATGGAAGATGTCCAACGGAGTATCACTAACCGTTACGGAGAGAATGCGATCCGTGCGAAATGGCGCGCATACATTACCAAATTCACGCGCGTCGCGGCTGCGTTTGAGGAAACCGTGTACGGAGCTTCGAATCTCTACATCATCGGGCCTAACGAGGAGCTATCTCCGGAGAGCCCGAGTGGTGTCCAAGCCGACCCTCTGGACCCCACAACGTTACGTGGCCATGGCTATGTGTGGCCCGACGAGGCTACGAAGCAGCGAGAATTGATCGCCTCTGTGTCGCGAATCGAAGGCTGGCGCACGACACGGTCCTACTACTCGTTTATACAGGATATCGCGGCCATGTACTACCCCGCGAGACCAATCCAGAAACCTGACCTGCACCATCACCATGATCGGCTGCGCACATTGCGGCTATCTCATGCCGACGCTGGAGCCATCTACCTTGCCTTTTCCCATGCTGTCAAGGACTATGCAGGCATATGCCAGCTTCTGACGGTGACGCCAGAAAGCCAAGCTGGTCTTTTCTACATCAGCATGGGCCTCTTTCACCCCAATCAGACCGTTCGTGAAACAACAGCCGATCTTCTAGATCGAATAGCTGCTCACCCCGCCGGCCGACACTTCTGGGCTCAACTCAGCCGCTTCAATAGACTGGCGTACTTCCGAGTCCGACGGGAGAGGGATGCAGCGCAAAGCCCTATCTCAGGGACGGGGTCGAGCTTTGGGGCGCCCCAATCTCTCATTGGAATCGCCACTGGCAATGCCTCGAGGCGCAGCTGAAATCACATAAACATCCTGACGACACAACTACAATGTTCTCGTCTATATTACACATAACGACAGTGAATATATACATTCTTGGATATCATTTTCTTTTTTTTCCCTTTTCATGTGGGTGGGGAGGTGGCTTACGCCTCGTGTGTATTGTTCTAGGGCGATATGGCATGCAATGACATGGCGATATGATATTTGATGAAGTTATTCAATTCAGTGTCGATACTTGGAATACTATGCAGCATAATGATGACCTTTTTCCTTGATTCTAACAATCAATATCGTTAAGGCACGAAGCATGTAAGGTGTTATAATTACATTAAATCTATATAAGTATGATAGTAAGGTGAACATCCAAGGAAGTAGAACATGCCAAATCCACACTCGCTGTCGTTATCCATGCAACCATGACCTGAAGAAGAGCAAACAAACGACAGACACCATATGCGTAAGGAGAGAAGTGAAATATACAAGGAATGCGACAGGCGTCACCGCGAAGAATCACAGCAGCGACATCCCAAGACTCAGCGCCACCGTCCACCCGATCAACCGCCAATCGACCGCTGAGGGCCTCCAAGCCCCCGACGTCGTTTTCGCTTTCTCGCCAACGGTGATGTTCACATTCGCGAAATTATCGCCGCAGTGCCGGTTCAGCGCCAATGCAGAGGGGAGATAGGAGCTCGTGAGCGGCTGGCCGTCGACCTGCGCCCAGCGACTGAAGATATCCATGCTGGCTTGCAGGCACTCGTTGCAGGTGGGCCAGGGGGCTTCGTCGGTGGGGTACCCGGCGGGGATGGAGTAGGTGTCGAGGTTCTGCGGGGAGGAGGCGTTGGTAGCTGCGTCGACAAAACAATAATCGTTTGTGTCGGGGTTCTTGAGGCAGGTGGCGCGGTAGACGGGCTCGTAGGTGATGAAGCCTGTGTAGGCGCTGGCGACGAGCGGGTTCCCGAGCTTATAGTCTTTGCCGCAGGCGTCGTCTTTGAGGAGGTTAGTGGCGAGGCGGTTGAAGATGGAGGTGCAGGTGTCGACGGAGGCGGCGCAGGAGAGGTCGAGGACGTGCGAGGTGGCGGTTGCGGAGGTGAGGGTGTGGAAGAAGGAGGTGGAGTCGTGGAGGAGGAGCGAGATGGAGTAGCAGGAGGTGACGGTTGAGTTGGAGAGGAAGTCGTTAAAGAACTTGGGGCAGCTGTCGGCTGTGAAGTTGTTGGAGAGACTGGTGTCAAAGGGTGTCGGCAGCGAGTCGGTGCTCGGGTCTGCACGAGTGTGAAGGTGCGAAGGAGTGCGTTCATCGACGTCCTCCTCGGTGGCGACGAGGATGGGTAGCGTGGCTGCTTCGTCGGCTAGACTGCTCTCGATCACCCAGGTTTTGCCGTATCGGGATTGTCCACTATCCAGATGTTCGCCGGTTACACTCTGTCCGCTCGGAGACGCCTCAGTTCGCGACAGGAACATGCCATGAGCTAGTGGGTGAGAGTCATCTAGAATCGCAGCTGCGGAAACCAGCGACGGCAGAAGCAGTACCATCAGAACGGTGACCAAGGTCGTTCTCGAATTGCCGGACCGGCGATGTCGTGAGGTACTGCAGACATCAGGCCTCACACTTTCACCCCACTGCGACGGTCTGCGTGGCCTATATGGACTAGAATGAAGGAACGACTTCATATTGGCAGAGAATTGAATGAATGACATTGCCACAATGGCTTGGAATTGAACTCAAGGCGATAAAAGAGAGAGTGTCAGAGGCCAGTGGTTATCATGGTCTCTGGAGTCCTTGACCTGGTGGTGGGTATATCATCAACGACAGTGAAAATGAGCGACTATTAGTACCAAACTACCCAGAATCATCGATCAAGAAAGGATAGCAGAAAGATTAAGACTGCCCCGGCGGAGGCATAAGAGAATCATGATCCAGCCTCCGTTAACAGACAAGAAAAAGAAGAGAGAAAAGAATAGGATGCCTGTCTGTCTGACAGAAAGCAAGGAAGAGCACGAAAACCTTCAGGAGACAGACAACCTGCAGCAACAACGAGAACCGCTGTGTGACTGCTGAGTTTAACTTTGGACTATTCAGCCTAGGACTCCTGGTGGTACGGACCGCCCTGCAAAATCAGTGCTTTTGGCGTCAGTCTATTGAGACAGCTGCCTTAAAACTCGGCATTATAGCACTGAGCGTAAATTTAGCAACCATTAATGGACCAAGGAACGGTCTGGCCACGAGTAGAACTTGGATAAGTGGATCTCTTGTGTGCAGAGGTCCGACTATCTCTTCCACAGAAGCCGACACTAGAGAAGACGAAAAGGGGAACATCTTCGGAGAATCCGTAGAGCTAGGACCTGTGCATGGCCCATGGCCATGGGCAATGATCAGTGGCCTACGGAGTACGGAGTATATATCCATGAGTCCAGACTCCATCCTGCGACGATCGCAAAGCAAGCGAACTTCTTTTATGATGCAATCGTCGTTCGTGGGAATGAGAGGAATGAGACTCACTGAGTTCTCTACTCCCTCGAACAGAAAAGTGGCCAAAGTGTGCGATTTACCCCTGACTTAGAAAGCGGAAAACCAGGAGGAAAGTACCCATCAGTACCATTGCAGCAGCCATTTACCGTCGAGGTACATCGGGGTACATGGACAGTGCAGGAAATCGAGCCGAGCCTTGATTGGCCAATCATGCCGCCGGAAAATTCCCTCCACTTCCATCCACATTTTGTGTCATCCGGACAGATACCTATCTAAGTAGTGATTGATTCATTATATCAGATACAATTGAAGTAGTTGATTCAAGCCGGATTATCATGAGCTGTGTATGACCAAGGTACATCACAACTTTTCACCATAAAGTCTCCTTTTTTACTGAACGATCGGCTCCCTATAACTCCGTACTTGCATACCATGTCCTCCGACAGCTTAGTACCTGAAACAAGGGTACTCGCCATTGCGAGTCATGTAAGTCTTTTTGTCCACCTTGATTCCAGCTTTGGTTGATAGTACTGACGAGGAGAGCCAGGTCGTCTACGGGTACGTACTCTCTGCTGTGTCACTGTACCCCTCCAAGTGCACCAGGATATAGTCCTCTTGTCATCTATATCGTGCACCGTGGCAATATGAACTGAGCAGCGACTAATGGCATCAGATATGTTGGCAACAAAATGGCTACGCTGGTCATGCAGTTGCTGGGGTGTGATGTCGCCGCCCTGAATACTGTCCATTTCAGTAATGAACCCAATATCCTTCGTCAGCTTGAGTCAACTAACATTCAACAGGCAACCACACCGGCTACAGACAGTTCAAAGGCACAAGGTCAACTGCCCAAGAGATCAGCGACCTATATCAGGGTCTCTGCCAGAGCCATCTCACGGATTTCGATGTCATGTTGTCGGGTTATGCACCCAGTGCTGCAGCTGTAGAGGCAGTAGGGGCTATCGGCTTAGACCTGCAGCGCAAGGCCGAGTCAAATCCTGGCTCGTTCTTTTGGGGTACGTTCAACTCTGTCGTTGTTGAATTACCCGCTAATGGTGAACAAACCTACAGTCCTCGACCCTGTTATGGGCGACCAGGGCCGGCTATACGTCAATGATGATGTAGTGCCCGCATATAAAAAGACCATCCGCCACGCTGACCTGATTCTCCCCAATCAGTTCGAAGCCGAGTAAGGATGCAGCCATACCTTTAGTCCGGTACACCCTTCATTAACCAACATCACCCTCAGAGTCCTCTCCGGAATCAAGATCACCTCCCTCAGCACCCTCGCCGAGGCCATCACCGCCATCCACACCACCTACTCAGTCCCGCACGTCATCATCACCTCCGTTCGCATCTCCCAGTTCTCGTCGTCCCCAGAAGCCACCACAGACAACCTAACCGTCATCGGCTCCACCATCAAATCCGACGGCTCCCCGCGTCTCTTCCGCGTAGACGTCCCCGCCCTCGACTGCTTCTTCAGCGGCACAGGCGACATGTTCGCGGCCCTGACCGTCGCCCGGCTCCGCGAAGCCGTGTTCGCCGCCGACTCCACCCTCCGCTCGACCAAGTCGTGGGTCTCCCCGGACGACGTCAAAGCCACTGATCTGCCTCTTGCCAAGGCCACCGTGAAGGTGCTGGCGAGCATGCACAGTGTCTTGGAAAGGACCCTGGAAGCGCGTGATGCCGAGCTCCGCGCTGCTGCGTCTGCGGAAGAGACTGAACCGGGCTTGAGTGAGGAGGAGAAGCAGAAGAGGGAGTATCTGCGGCGGACAAAAGCCGCCGAGGTGAGGATTGTACGGAATGCGCGGTTCCTGCGGGAGCCGGATGTGGAGTTCCAGGCGCAGGACTGGAAAAAGGAAGATTTGCCTGTGGGACTGCAATAGTTGGGTTCATGATCTAGACGTACTATAGACTTATTACTCTGTATAGACCTATCTCATGAATAGAACGTGTTATGAGCAACCTGTCATGTTTCTAGTATCGTCATGTCTATCTATGTCGTAATAATCCAAATTCGTTTATATTAAAGACCCGTGCTTCCGAATCCGCCCGCCCCACGGACACTCTCCTCCAGCTCCTCGACAACCATCACCTCGGGCGTGTAGATCTAGTTAAGTTAACCACCAGCGTCACCACACCCAGAATGAACGAAGAAGAACTCACCCGTTCAAGCACAAGCTGCGCAATCCGATCCCCCAATTTAACCGTAAAATCCACATCCGAGAAATTAAACAACAGAACCTTCACTTCACCCCGGTAATCAGCGTCAATGACGCCCGCCCCGGTATCGATGAAGTGCTTCGAGGCAAGACCACTCCGGGGGGCAACGCGGCCGTCTGTTCGTTAAACTAATTAGCATACATTCTTCCGACAGAGAAAGAAAGGATAGGGGCAGCGTACATGTCCCCTCAGGCACGGCAATCGCAAGCCCTGTGTCAACCAGGGCTTTACCCTTGGCCGGGATGACAGTCTCCTTCGCGCTGTAGAGGTCGTAGCCTGCGGCGAAGGCGGACCCGCGGGTGGGTGCTTGTGCGGACTCGGTGAGCTTCTTGACGAGGAGAGGAGGAAGGGGCTGAGAGATGGAGGTGACGGCGGGTGCTGTGCCGGTGGTCATCTTGTTGGTGTTGGCTGTGTTGTTGGAGTCGGGTTTTGTTCGTTTGGCGAGGGGAGAGGCGGGGAGAGAGGGAGGTTCGTGGGTGGGAGCTGTGGATTGTTGAGGCGGTGGTGTGGTCTCTTTTGTCATAACTTGGATTGGGCTTGCGAGATGTATGGAAGAGAGAGAGATTGCGGTGTACCGGTCCAGAGCTGCGATAATTGACCAACAGCAGATGCATGGATGGTAGGTTAGACGCGTCTGGCGGTGTACGCGCACCGCGTTGTTAATTGGCTTGGCATGTTTGCTCTTATTGTGCTAAACATTCAGCCTCAGGCACAAGTCCAGATGACCGAGCTCCGACGCCCCGCAAGTGCAAGCTCGGGCCAGAGAAATGGGGTTGCTGCCAATTGGACTGTTTTGCCTCGGTCCGCAGCGCTGGAGCTGACCTGGAGCATGTCCTGCTTTCTTATTACCGGGGTTATTTCTGTCTCCAGGTACCTCCGGTTTTTACATACCTGTCCGGGTTGACACTGCGGAGAAGGGATTTCTATATCAACTACCCTTGTATTGTTTGACAGTCGGCGTCATGGCTGGAGCTGTACGCCAACCGATTGATATCCCGTCGCTGGAGCGATACCTCGACCAGAACGTGCCTATCATCAAGACGCCAATTGATGTGAAACAAGTAAGTCCTCAATACCTCTTTGTTCGCTTAGTCTATTTGTTGACTTCAACAGTTTGGCTTCGGGCAATCCAATCCCACCTACCTAATTACCGGCTCCGACAAACAACAATATGTCCTACGAAAGAAACCTCCAGGCAAGCTCCTGTCCAAGACGGCACACCAAGTCGAACGGGAATACAAGATCATCCACGCATTAGAGAAGACCGACGTTCCTGTCCCCAAAGCATACTGTCTATGCGAGGATAGCAATGTGATCGGCACTCCGTTCTACATCATGGAGTTCATGGACGGTCGAATATTCACGGATCCTGCCATCCCCGGCGTAAGCGCAGAAGAGCGAACCGCACTGTACGTCTAGCCCTCTTATTTAGGATGAGACAGATACTAAGAGGCGCAGATGGCGCGATGCAGTCCGCACGTTAGCCAAGTTCCACCGGGTCGTCCCCAAGTCTGTCGGCCTGGAGCGATTCGGCAAGCCGTCCGGCTACTACGACCGCCAGATTGCCACCTTTACCGCCGTGTCCAACGCGCAGGCGCAGGCCGTCGACATCGAGACCAAGAGGCCCGTTGGCGAACTGCCCCACTTCATGGACATGGTGCGCTTCTTCTCCAACAAGGCCACCCAGCCGCTCGACAGAGGCACCCTTGTGCACGGCGACTACAAGATTGACAACATGGTCTTCCACAAGACAGAGCCGCGCGTCATCGGGATCCTGGACTGGGAGATGGCGACCGTCGGCCACCCGCTGTCCGACTTTTGTAATCTCACTAGCCCCTATTTCCTTGACGGGACGGACCACAAGACGGAGCAGTTCCAGCCTGGCGTGGTGCCAGGCTTGCCGAGACGCGAGGACTGCTTGCGGTGGTACCGCGAGGTCGCCGGGTGGGACCCCACGCCGGATATCCTTTGGGGCGATGCGTTCTTCTCGTGGAGGAGTTCGGTGATCATGCAGGGAATCGCGGCGCGGTATGCCCTGCGCCAGGCTAGCAGTGCGCGTGCGCAGGAATACGCGCAGAAGACCGGGCCGTTTGCTCTGGAGGCGTGGGAACGGGTCAAGAAGGTCCAGGAGCAGGTGCGTCAGAAGGGAAAGCTGTAGTACGATAATACATACAAACATTCTCCGTAACTAGCATGTATGTATCGGCTAAAGCATCAATTTTTTGTTTCATACAGCTAGAAAACTCACACTGCCAGCTGTCAAGTGTCAACGTCATCAGCCCAGACCCCTTCTCAATGGGATCTATACCCTCCACACATTAGCTTCTACTGCATAAACAAGCAGTAAGCACAGATATTTAACAACGCATTCAAGGGAGAAACCGGAACAAAATCACCAAAGTACGAGGCAGTCGTCCAATCAAGCCCCTCGGAGCAAGCCACCGTTTGCTCGCGGTGATAATTGGGTGCGGCTCAGGGAGGCTTTGTTTGTGCTGCCTGTACGACCGGTGGGTTGTAGAACTCTGCAAGGTAATACCAGCTCATTTGCAAAGACTAGGTTTGGAGGACAAGGTTGATTTGTGAGTACTCCCCAGTGTCTGTGAACGAGGGACCATGGTGGACACTTTGTTTTTGGTATGAGGTCATATACCTAGTAGGACTGGAATGATTATGCAGATGTTTTCCTTAGTACTTTGGGAGTATTATATAGCTAACCACAGCTATAAAGCTATCATCGTCAATATCATACTCCATCTGAAGTAATAGATGCAATGCTATATGCCCAGTTTAGAATCGCTCACGTTGCAGCTGTGAAACCAAACCGATGTGCTACCCTCCATAGTATTGGCCTGCGCAATGAAGTGATCAGTCTTGTGAAATTTTGCAGTGCCATGACTTTACATCCAGACTGCCCCTCTAGTAATACCAGACTAGAAAGTTGACGCATCACTTCTACTTCGTCTTACTCTTGGTCAACTGGGATGGGAATGAACCAGGCGGGTCAACCGGGGCGGCCCGCTTTACTGGCCTTGACTTGGTTTAATGGATAGATCCGCTTACCGGATATCAGCGACGATAACAGACTGGCTTCCTTGAGAATGACTGGGGGTTGAGACTTGAGCGCCTGATGAATCATGCTGGATGAAGATCAGACGGGGGAAGAAATCATCGAACCAATCATGCATTTGGGACCCTGGTACTGTTAGTGCAGCAGGCGTGAATTGCAACAAGGATTGTTTGACCAAGGCTAAAGCCAAGGCGTCAGGTAGGTAAGATTGTGCGCAGGAGATGGGTAGTACTAAATCAGTTGAGTCGGACAGTGAACACAGACCCGTAAGATAGGGTAGACTATCTTAGACTCCTCGGCCTAGAGACGTTTTTGGAATGAAAGAGAGAATACGAGATAAGCTTGTTGCCACTTCCTAGGGTGGTTGTCACCGTCCAGGTAGTCTCATACCTAAACTGTCCGGGGAGGATTACTAGAAAGTTTAACTTGGGCCTCAAGCAAAAGTCAAGTGGAGCACACGGGAGGGGAAAGTGGCCCAGATCCAATCATAATGGCCACAAGTTCTGCAGAAAACAGCTGTCGATCAGTTCAGCTCGGACTCCGGAAATACCATGGTCCGTTATTTGTGTTACATTCGCTTGCGTGGATATCCTACTTTAGAGGCTGATGCTGATGCTGATGCTATGCTACCAGCCAGCCAGATCAGCACACGCGGATGCAAAACCAATGATTAGATAACTACCTACCCACTGTCATACTCTGAAATTCTGCTTCTATCCGGTCATTGAGGTGAAAACACTGAATTTCGAGTCTCCGACATCGCAAACACGGAAACCGCGGTCTGGTTCGTATAGGGGTCGTATCTCGGCGTCGAGGCGCCTGAGGCGGAAATATCAACCGGCGTCTGCTCATGGGCGGATTGAAGTCTCCGTCATTGCCTGGGATGGTCGGCGACTTTTCCATTTTCCAGCCTCGTTTCCTCCGTAGGTGGGCGGTCACCCAGTCCCTGTTATACTCCTCTTGGGTAGTATATGTCCTGAACTTAGGGATTTGTTCTTTTATTATTCTGTGTTGGGGATCAGTCTACCTGAAATCGCTGCTAACCAACGAATTTCATTTTGTTTTCGGTTCAATAATCTTGTAATCCTCCCAATGATTTCTCTTCCTGTAGGCTGTAGAGCTGGTGGAACCAGAATATACGGTCAGGGATAAAATGTAAGAAACGAGCCTTAGGCACGAAAACTGCCTAATCGATGCGAGGCTTACAGCCTTGTCGCCTTAGGCACTAATCGGGAAGTCAAGACACACCGTAGGAATTCTTCGCTCATGTACGAGCACGTAATTCGTAATCCTGAGGGGAAAGAGGGCAGATCGCAGCAGGCTGACCTCTGAGGCCAGGGCTCCAGGAGTTCAAAGTTTTGGAGAATTTGGAGAGTTTGAGCCTCTTTCGACAGTCCCTGGTTCGTCATGGAGCCACGCACATCACAAGACCGATCAGATCAAGGCTAATCAGAAGGATCCCCGCGTCGAGAATCCAATTCACATACAAGTAATAGCGATTCATAGAGTTTCTACGTTGGTTCGGTGCAGATGAGCAACTTCAGCCTCCTCTTTTTGCCTTCGTTAGCCGACCAATCATACACGGCCATTCTGCAGAGAGCCTCAAATGGCCCGAACGTGGAGGTTGTTTGGTTGGATGGTGCGGCTGGCCCGGAAGAGGCTCGTGGTCCTTAGAACCCGGTGCTAGGTGCAACTGTGAAATAGAGCTGCCTACGTCCAGTCGTCAACTCCTTGAGGATCTGATCACGAGAATGAGATAAAACACCGCCATTTCGCCCGGTCAGTGTATCTAGAAAATGTTCATAGACTGATGAATCCACACTCAACTCGGATAAACAAAGTCTCGGACAATCCCCGTTTACAAGGAATATAGTATAGTATGCCACTACTGTGCGTGCTGGACGGTTAGCATCATTGTTTCCCTCAAAATAATATCAGGCGGTATTATGATGATGACTGATGGCCATACTTTGCTGTCAATCATTAGTATTATTACCTAGACAGCTAGACTAAGGTACCTACTGGGGCTCATAGATGACTGGACAGTGGACAAGCGCTACCTTGCTCCCTCCCTCCCAACTAAAATTCATCTAAATTAGAATCCATACCTGCGCCATAAAGGAATAGTCGTACTGTATTTCCGTCCTCTGCCTCAAACCCCACTTTGCTTTGCCTGTCTGTGGCGCGTCTGAAGACAGTTAACCCAGCACTCTGTGAGCGTCAGGACGTCGACCTTTTTCTCTTCTTTTCCGTTCTCAAGGATGATCTTCATTCCTATCACATCGCATCTCATCCTTTGCCTTCTCCCTCGAATGATCGAAAATCTGACAACATTTTACTAAAATTGGAGAGAGTGAAAATAGGGCGAATTTCACCCAAGCATTCGTGGTTCGAAGTGCTTGCGATAATCTAGAACAGCAAACTTCCTGCAATTCTTCGTCTTCTTCCCCATCATA